ACCACATTCTTTTTTATTTTTATTTTTAGTTATTTTATTTTCTTAAGTAAATCAAATTATTTGGGAAAATATTAAAATTAAATTTAGGTGTTTTTATTTTTTTTAGTTTAATGAAAATTATTTTATCCATCAAGTGCCACTGCAAACTAGGGGTGCAAACGAGTCAAGCCGACTCGCAAGCGGGCTCGAACTCGACTCGGTAACTGGCTCGACGAGTCGAGCTTATCGAGCTCGTGAGTCGAGCTAAAACACCATTTCGAGCTCGATGGCTTATCGAACTCGACGACGGACGAGCGGAACCTATGGCGAGCGCTCGTGGCGACGAAGGAGTTCGCAATGTAGCTCGACTGAGCTCGACAATCTTGCTCGGGACGGAGTTCGTAGTGGAGCTTGACTGAGCTCAACGAGTCGCTCAACATATGAGACGAGTCGAGCTCGAGCTCAGATTTTGTGCTCGAGCTCGGTATTTGAAAGTCGAGCTAAACTCGAACACTGCCTAGCTCGACTCGACTCGTTTGCACCCCTACTGCTAATCACTGGCCATCGCTGACCCAGTCACCATCATTGTCCGCCTTCGATGCATTATACAATATTCAATAAAAATATAAATAATAATTATTTATGTTACTAATTTTTTTATATTAAAGTATGAAAAAAAACAAAAAATAAAATTAATGAATGATCCCAAATGGCACCTAATTTGATGGTAATCAATAATAAATAAAAAAAAAACTTTATTCTTAAAAAAAAAGAAAAAAAAACATTTTGTAAAAATATATTTGAATTTTATTGTTTAACTGAAGATTAATTAAATAGTCTTCAGATAAAAAACATGTCACTCTTTTAAATTTTAATTAATTCACATATTTAGATCTCAAATATATATAATTTTTTGTGATGATTGAATGAGTATATTTTACTCGTTGACGGTTAAGTGTTCTAGAACAGCTAGTGATGGACAATAATTGGCCGCTAGATTAATGTTGGTGGGGTGGCCTAACAAATTTCTAGATTAATGTTGGTGGGGGTGGCCTAACTAGAAAGGGGTGGGGAACAAGGGGAAATCCACCCCTATTAAGAGTGGACAAATTTATCATATAAATTTAAGCAAGGAAGAGGAAGATGTATGACAAACAATGAATTCTTTGAATGCGACGGGGAGCGACTTGTGTTTTATATATATAGGGGTGTCAATATTTTACATGACTTAAAAATCCGGACGGGTCCGGTTCGGGTTCGTAGTTTCGACCAGTTTGCAAAAGCGGATCAAGTTTGAGTCAACCTGTTTAAGCCCGGGTCAGTTCCGGGTTCGACCCGAAGTTGATCCGGGTTATATTTGCTAAAAAATCTAATTTGACGTGGCCTGAAAATTTCAAGTTAAGGTCAACCCATTTGAGAAACGGGTCGGGTTCAACAACTCGTCCTGTTTCAAAAATCGAGTCGGATTAGAGTTGACCCGGATTGAACCGTGCTGACCACGTCTGCCCGCCCATCGCGTCTGCCTGCCTGTATCTCGTCTGCTAGCATGCTCCTTCCTGCCCGCATCGCGTCTACCTGCCCATTGTCGTCGATGCCTCGCCTCGTCGTCCCGTGTCCAACGCGGTAACGCCTCCTTCGCCGACTTGCCGTCGCCAGAGCGGTCGCGGTTGCCTTGTCGGGTCGGGTCAACCATATGGCCGGACAGGTCGAGTTCGTAGTTTTGACCTGTTCACAAAACTAGGTCGAGTTTGAGTCAACCCATTTAGTCATAAAAGGAGTTCAACATATTTATTCATTTTTTGAATATTCATGATAATAAAGAGAAAATTTAATGTCTGAGATACGTGCGAAGATCTGCCACATATATTGAAAAAAAAAGGAAGAAATGTTGGAGCTACAAAAGTTTTTTATATTAAAAACATGTAAATGGATATTTCATGGAATTTAACCCTATTAAAATAATTTCACTAAATAAACAACAATTACAAATATTCATCTTTCTGGCTAATTGAAGAATGTGAGAATGCAAGAGTAAAAGATGACGGCTTGGTCTCCTATAGGACTGTTGGGAAATATTACTTGGGTGTCAAGGGACTGTAGGCATTTGGATAGTTGTGGTCAAATGGTGATGGTCTGATGATAATGATCTAGTGATAATAATTTGAGGTAATGATTATGGTCAAGCAACAATCATTCACCAATGATAGTCTAGTGGTGGCGGTCAAATGATAAAGATCATACGATGTGATTCAACAACAAAGGGGGTGATGATGGTTTGACAGGTGATGGTTAGGCAACGATGGTTCGATGATAGTAATTTTTTGATGGTTGACTAATAATGATGGTTTGATGGTTGTGATTCAATAATAGTGATCCACCGATGAATGTTCGATCATTTTGATCTAACGATGGTGGTCTGATAGAGATAATCAAATGGATATGGTAAGATGGTGGTGGTTGGAAGATTACAATGAAAGTTCGATAACGATGATCTAATGATGGTGGTTAGACAATGATAGTCCAATGACATTGTTTCAATCATATTGATCCAATAATGTGTGTTGTGCAAACGATCACAGTGGAAACAAAATCAAACAATAAATCAATCAAAAGAAAAAGACGATTTACCTGGTTCGACAAAGATGATTTCACTAAATTGGATAAACAAATAGGAATTACAATTGCTCTCAAGATATCTCTTGTGCTCTCATCTCATACATACAACCTCAACCGGTCAACCCCCAGTACTCTATTTATAGATTTGAGCCAAAATGAATTAGAAAAAAGCTTCCTAATCGAATCCCTAATTAATGCAATAATTAGATCCCCTAATTATCGCATCAATCAAATATTCAATTAAATCTTAAATCAAATCAACTTGATTAGAAAAATAATCACTCCCTTGTCAATAATATAATTGAGCCATCAAAGCCTTCCAAATCAATAGAGGTTGGATAGTGGTGGTCTAGCCACGGTGATCCGATTATGGTGGTCGAGCGAAGGTGGTCCAATGGTGGTGGTTAGTGGTGGTGATTTAGTTGTTGTGGTTTAATGGTAGTGGTCAAGTGGTGGTGGTCTGACAACGATGGTTGTGTGTCGAAAACTTGACAATGATGGTTGGTTGACACTAGTACAACCACAGTGTTAAATGAAAGTTATCCAATAAAGTTTTGGGATTCACCAAGCCTTTGAATTGAGCTCTCAAATCTTTAACCAAGGTCTCATTGTAAGAGGGGGTTTCTAGTTTTTTTTTTCTTAGAGTAACGCTCTTCTTAAATATCGCAAAAAGACAACTCATATTGATTCTCATAATCTTAAATTATTTTTTTAATATTTAATTACTCGAATGATATTAAAATCAAACAATTTTGAGCTCATTAGATTCTTACTGTTGATGCACTCAATTTGACTATAATAAGCATGAAAAATTAGGAGATAGTTCTGATAGTCTTTAATTTAATTTTGAAAGTTTTCAATTCAGATATGCATCAAGATTCGTGTTTAATCAAGTTTTTTTTTTAACTTATCAAGATCTAAATTGAATGGTGTGAGTATGATTTTTATCGATGTAGAACATGATTTTTTTCCTAAGGTTTTGTTTATGATGAGTTTTATTATTTTTTTTTTAAAGCAAATTTTAAGTACAAAAATTTCTTAAACTAAAAAAATTTGTACTAGAAAACTGATTTAAAAAAAAAACGTCCAAATGGAAGCCTAAGTTGAATTACTAAGCATAAATTAGCATAAATAAGCTAATCTGCATATTAAATTTGAACTTAATATATTATGGGTAAAATAGTTAATCAAAGAGTTCTTTGGATCAGATTGTAAAAAGATCAAAAACCGTATTATTAACTCATTTCGCTTAGACAGTAACATCCAACTACTTGCTTCATAACTTATCCTTCCATGGTTGTTGCTTTATTGGTCTACCCACTCATCCTTGAAGTGAAATTTCAAAAAATTAAAAACGTAAAAATCTCCGGGTCCATTTTATAAATATTTTATTATTTATATTTTTGAATCTGTAGCTTATCAATATTTGTAACCTCATTAATCAAATGAGCCCCTGCAGACATCCATTAATGTTTTCAACATTCAACAGCGCCGTAATCAAATGAAACTATCTTTTTCTCCCTTTTGTCAAAGATGATGATGGCTTTATTACCTATTTTCAAGCATCTTGAAATGTCCAATTTAGATTTTGTTTAGGATAATTGTTTTTTTTTTTAATTGTGGAAAAAAATATCCAAAATGATACTTTAAAGGATTGTTTGGTTATTTGAAAAAAAATGTAGTATAAAAGGAATGTGATCGACGTAAATGAAATCTTATAAATAGCTTGGATGATTGAAAAAGGAATGCATGATTTTACCTTTTTTTGTGGCCGGAGGTGGACGGCCGGCCAGAGGTGGCGGTGGTCGGAGGTGGTGGTGGTTGGAGATGGCGGCCGACCAGAGGTGGCGCTAGCCGGATGTGGGCTGTCGAAGGTGGGCGGCTAGATGTGGTGATGGCTGGAGATGGGCGGCCAATCGGAGGTGGCGGCCGACCGGTGGTGACAACAGTCGGAGGTGGCGACGATCAGAGCTGGGTTGTCGGTAGGAGGTGAGTTGCCGACCAAAAGTTCCGATGGCCAAAGGAGGCTGCCGGCCAAAGGTGGCTGCGATTGGAGTTTGGGGGCCGGTTGAAGGTGGCGGTGGTCGACAAGCGATACATTTGTGGTGTATTTGAAAATCACCCGAATCAGAATATTTTTTAAATATAGCAAAAATGAACTAGCGGATGTATTTCAAATGCACTGAAATTTTATTTTGCATTCCTTTAACTTAAAACCAAAGGTCAATATTTTCAAAATTCTTGTATTTTAAATACTTTACACCATAAAAATAAAAAATTTCAACCAAAGAGCCTAAATAAGTAACAAATTTAAGAAATAAAATAAATTAAGCCATTAATCAAATTTTACTTAAATTATTTATTTACATAAATAGCAAAACAAATTTCAATACATATGCTAATTACAAACTAATACGCAGTTAGCTACCAGAACAGAGCTTCACTGACCACACCTCATGAAAGAAGCAAAAACTAAGCAGTCGATCGAACAAAAAAGAAGTAGAAGCATCCATCAATAGTCCACATCACACTTGACCCTCTGAAATGGCGTCGTCTTCAAGCTGCTGGCGGATGGCGCTGGCAACCTGACGTTGCAGTCAAACTTCGGCTTTATATGATGCGTTTTGAAGATTCCCGCCTTAAGCCTAACACTCATATAAAACTTGACCTCAATGTTGTAAAACCCCTCAGTCTTCTCTCTCGCGTAAGTCGCCGGCGCATCGCCGAGCAAAATATTCTGGCTGGCGAACACGGGGCTCAATATGGTGGTATTCTTGTGTCCCTGGTAGAAGGTGGGCAAAATCTGGAAGCCGAACCTTGAGTCGTCGTAAATGGCGAGGGATTCAATGTAGTCGTAGTAGATTCCTATCTTTTTGTTAGGGTTGCGGACGCTGACGTTGAGGCTTAGGTTGTAAAGAAGCATGTTGTTATTGCTGTTTGTGAGATTGAACTGTGTGAGCGTGGCGTCCTCGACGTAGACTTTTATCTTGTTCGGCCGGAAGATGAGCCAGAGGACGAGCGCGGCGATGCCGAGGACGATGATGATGGTAACAATGAGCTTCAGGAGGGAAGATAAGAGGCCGCCGCAGCAGGAGTGGCGGCGGCGGCGGGGGGTGGCGTATGGAGGGATTGGTGGGCCGTAGTAGGCGCCGTTGAGGGGCGCCGAGGGCTTTGGATCGGCCATTGATATGGAGAGGTTGGGATGAGAAGGGGGAGATCTGATGATGGGGAGAGGAGGGTTGGGGGGTTAGATTTATAGTGGTTTTAGCGAAGGAAAACAGAGTGAAAGTTCCGAGTTTATGTTGAAATAAATAGTCGCGTGATCCCGTGGATAATTACTTGGATTCTTGTATGGGAAGTAATTTGCGGAACGCGCTTCCGCTGCGCGTTTTTGACCGCGCGTTGCTTCTGGAGGAGGCGGTAAGTGAAAGGCCGAAGATCAAGTCATTGGATAGAAATAGTATAAATTGTGAGCAGAGGTGCGTGCGGTCGTGTGAGTGGAGTCTTTGTTCGCACGCGATTATAAGGGGAGTACACATCACCGTTTGTTGTTTCAAATACATACATAATTTATATGCGAGATCAGAATCCAAGAGAGATTATTGGGCTAGGACACCGGAGACAGGTTATCGTTCGGTACTTCAGAGTACCGAGTAATATTGAACTTGGTACTGTGTAGTAATGAGTTCGGTACTCCACAATACCGAGCATTACTGAGCTCGGTGTTGTTCAGTACCGAGCTCAGTACTGCTCGGTAATGTAGAGTACCGAGTAGGGGGTGATGTATCACATTTTCATTGGGTTTCGGACGTCGTTCGGTGCCCAACCCCAATAATTTCCCTGAATTCAGGGTCTCTTAGTTGAGAGCCAAGCTCACAACCAACAAATCAAAGAGAGAATATGAAGTTGATTAAGTCCACTGTAAGATCTAGAGCTCTATTTCAATTGAGAGTTAAAAAAATAAATGAAACATAAATAAATTATAATTCATTATGAATTAATAACCATTAATTTGATTGTCTATCGACCGTTTAAGATTAATTATTATGTGCGGACGTCGAACATCGTCCAAAGCCCAATGAAAATGTGCCACATCACCCCCTACTTGGTACCGTGGCTCAGTATTGCTAGGTACTGAGCTCGGTACTGCTTAGTACCGAGCTCAGTACTGCTTGGTAATGTAGAGTACCGAGCTCATACAGAGCTCAGTACCGAGTAGGTGTTAAGAACCAACGGTTTAATGTACTCGCCACGTCAGCTTTGTACTTTCTTGTTTTCTAATCTTGTATCTAGTCTATATATAGTACTCAGGCTGTAATAGTTAAGTAAATGAAATCAATTACTTTCTTTCCTCTGTTCGTCTTTTCCTTTCACTCGTCTTCACGCCTTGCTATCTCTCTAGCCTGGGAAGGATTTTCACATGGTATCAGAGCTACAAAGCTCAATCGCTTCGACCTACGTCTATCTCCTTCCTTCCTCTCCGGTTCTCAGCCTCTAGGATCATGGCGGACGAAGACACGGCTGGATCTCGCCGGTCCGGAGCAGAAGGTAGAACCCTGTCCACTACCTCAAATCAAGACTCCAATCTTCTCATTCCCCCTCAGCTAAAATTCTTGATTTCAAATGTCAAGAACATGGTTCCCAATCATCTCACTTCCGAAAATTATTCTATATGGCGTCTGCAACTGTCTCAGCACTTCGCCGCGAATGGCTACGAAGCGCATCTCACCGGTCATGAGGTTAGTCTACCGGACTCGACTCCTCAAGAACAAAATCGCTGGAAGCTGGTTGATCGCAATCTTGTTTCGGCTCTCCTAGCTACCATTTCCCCTCCCATTCTACCGTATGTGATCAATCTTGGCTCTGCCCACGAAGTCTGGACTGCTCTCGAACGACGCCTTCAACCCACCAACCGATCGTGAGTAATTCAGCTCAAGAACGAGCTACACCAAATTCAGATGCGAGATCGCACCATGCAACAATATCTTGATCAAATCAAGACAATTGTTGCTAACATTGCGGCCGCCGGCTCTACCGTCTACACGAAGACATCGTACTTTATATTCTCAACGGGCTGCCCACAGCCTACAACTCATTCAAGACAGCCATTAGAACTTCGCTGCAACCTATCCACCTAGATGATCTTTATTCCCTTCTCAGCAGTGAAGAAATCATTCTTCAGCAACAAAACCTCAAAGATCAAATTCAACACTATGAGTCCACAGCTCTATTTTCCAATCGAAACTACAAAGGGAAAAAGCCAAGAGGGCGGGGCTCATTTCAAAGACAACAGACAAACGATCGCTCGACGCCTTCCGTAGAGGCATCATCGTCTGCTCGCCCTCTTTCTTAGCGCCCACTTGTCAGATTTGTGGCAAGCCCGGTACTCACGCAGCTCTCAACTGCTGGCATAGATGCAATCTCAACTACGCATCGCCGACAAACACAAGGGCGCTTATGGCACAACAACAACAAGCCAATACGAATGACTGGATCTTGGACTCCGGCGCCTCATCTCACCTGACTACGGATGCTACGCATCTTCAACATTCGGCTCCTTACACCGGCTATGACTCGGTGTCTATTGCAAACGGGAGCAATCTTTCCATTCAGAATTTGGGTCAAGGCATACTGCCTCTACCCGAGCATACTCGTAAGCTCTATCTACGCAAAATTCTACATCTTCCGCATCTAAAACACAACCTCCTCTTTGTTTCTAGCCTTACATCCGATAACAATGTTTTGATTTCTTTTACCGCTAATGAATTTGTTATAAAGAGTCTTTAGGACAACCAGGTGCTTCTCCGGGGACCCAAACGCAATGGACTGTACCACATCAAGCTTCCTATCAAGCGTAACGAAGCGGCGCTGACATCAAACTTGCTACCCAAGATTTATCATGAACTTATTTTATTTAGAAAGTAACATCTATATGATCTACTACTTCATCACATTTATATCATGCATATATAAAATATTTCTTTTATTTATTTGGATATTTAGGTCAATTATGACAAATTCATACACACATCACATATACAAGACTCGAATCCAAGACCTCTTGATTGATACCAAAAGCTCAACCAATAGACTAAAATAAGTTGCATAATTATTCCATTCTTAAAGCTTGCTTCACAACTTATGGTTCGATGGCTGTCCTCTTATTGGTCTACTCATTCATCTTTGAAGTGAAAAAATTCAAAAAATAAAAATAAAAACGCAAAAATCTCCGGGGTTCATTTTATAAATATTTTATTATTTTTATTTTTGAATTGGTAACTTATCGTTAAAGAAGCACAACGCTTCCCCGAGGTTTGATATGAAAATGTAACTAAAAAATCCTAACAATATTGTTTTTAAATGTTGTGTATAAACGTTATTGTTTGAAACGCTATTTCATGAATCTAATGTGCGTTTTACTTATAAATTCTGTAACGCGTTCATTACAGATTTACAGCAGCATGCGATTATGATTTCGTTTGGAACAGCTTTTTGTTGATTTTAAAATAGTTTTATCTAAACAAAAATAATTGATTTCAATACTAAAAAATTATTTTAAAAAATAATAAAAGCTTTCTCAAACGACTCCAAAGTAAGGTTTAGTATGGGATAACTTTTGCACTGTATTTTTCAATATAATTTTTGTACTAAAATACTGATTTAGATACTAGTAAGAAAATCATCTCAAAAGAAGCGTAAAATAAATAAGGTGTAAATTTCTTTTGAATGGCTTTCTAAATTAATTTTTTAGTACAAAAATTTTTAATTCAAATATTTTTTTTATTAATAACTACAAAAAAATAATAAAAAAGTTGTCCCAAATGAAGCCTTAGGCTTCAACTTTTTTATTACTTCTTAAAATAGAGTTTTAGTACAAAATTTTTAATTTTTTATAATAAAACTCTGTTTTAAAAAGCAATAAAAAGTCACCCCAAACGAAGCTTTACTTTGAGATAGTTTTTTTATTACTTTATACAATAATTTTTTTGCATAAAAATTTATTGAAAACAGCAAAAAAACATAAAACTATCTCAAGCAAAACCTAAATTAATAAACAAACATATATCCAATAAATAAAATTAATAATCAAAATAATTTAAAAAATTAATCATTATATATATACTTGCAAGAAGAAAATGCATATGAATATAATAAAATCATGAAACCCTTAAATAAATATGAATATGAGAGAATATCTCAAAGAGCCATGATTTCAATACAAATTTAGGATTTAGTCAAACAATTTAAGAAAATGCACATAATATATTTAATATTAATAAACTAATCATAATTATAATAATTGAAATGGATGATTTGGATCTTTTTTAAATAATTAAAATTAATTAAAATGAAAGGCCGATATGTCATATGAAAAGAAACTCAAATCCTTATGAATATGAGAGAATGTTTCCAATACAATACAAAAGAACTTCAAAATAAAGAACTAAAAACTCTTATATTTTATTTCATAGAAAATGGCATATTTCAATACACTTCTCATTCAAATTATTACATATCAACTCTTATTTTCCTCTCCAGTAGAAGCTATTACATAAGCTGAAACCTTCCATTCTAATATAAAACTCACCCTTACTGCTGCTGCATTACTCTGATCATGGCAGCTCTTTTTTCCAAATCAAAGAACGGCAATGGTGACGAAGATGATTTATTCTCTTATAATTAGTAAACCACCAAATCTTAAACATATCGGGCCAGCAGTCCGTATGGATATTAAGAACCCCATGGCAAACAGCCTCGCCTGGCAGAGTACCATTTATGAAGAAAAGCTTGACCCATCCGATGGCTTCGGGCTTGCCCAAATAGCCCCAGCATCTGTAAACCCGTTCGTATGGATTGATGGGTTCCTTCGGGGGAGGGCCTTTGATGATTCGCGCGGGCGGGTCAGGAATATGGGCCAAGTCTCTGCCGTATGGGCACGACGGGACGTGGAAGTAGCGGTTCCAGGGGATGTTGGCGAAGGCGGTGGTGGAGAGCAGGCCGAGGAGGGCGAAGAGGGGGAGAAGGTACTTCGCCATTGGTATTTTTGTTGATGGAGAAGAGAGGGCTGCGTTGTAGAATTTATAGGAAGAGAGGGAGAATATATAATTAATTTTGTTTAAACGTTCGAGGTAATTAATTGTGATGTAATACTTCAGATTTAACGGGTTTAAGGTATAAAATTTTTGTCGTTTTAACTTAATTTTTTAATTAATTCGGTTTTAACGTTTTAAATTGATCAGTAATTTTGAATTTGTA